ATCGTTAAAGTTAATAAAACTAATTATGTAACAAACATATAAGAAGTTTCTGGTTACTAAACACAAACAACGCATACAAAGTAACTCGTGGATGAACAAGCATCGCACCTGAGGTCATGACAGAACACAAATATATATAGCAAATAATTAGATTTAAAGAAAAGTTTCTAGATATAGGTTTACTAACTCTAATTATTTTCGCTTAAGTTGCCATTCTTAAAACTCGTTATACTTTTTGCTGCTTTAAATACTAATTAAAATTAAAAAGCCCACTCACTAAACATCATCAGCAATATTGTGAAGCAGTTTCGCTTCCTAGTCATTAAGTATTTTAACCTTTTTAGTTAATTTCTATCTTGATAATTTAATTCCTATAGTAATTCAATGATTTAATTATTTCATTTGTTTATCTTACTAAGAAGAATCGCTTTAAATATGGTAAACTTTTCAAACAACGCGAAACATAAAATAGGTATTAAAAAAATTAACTTTTTTATTTATAAAATAATTTAGCTTAAGTAAAGCTAAAACTTGCAAACTTAGTTAAATGAAGAATATTTGTTTCCCTTTTAAACAATCATAAGTTGTTACTTTATATAAAAAACATCGCTTAATTTTATAAAAAAAGTTGTAAAAGAGTGATGTTTCGAAAATATTTGTTCTAAATGTAATTTATTTAGCTTTAAGTTTTTTCGCGTTTAAAGATATTTTATTTGCCTATTTTTTTTTTTTTTTTTGTAACTGTCTCTCATCAGTCCAATTAATCTTTGTCGCTTTTTTTTTTGCTTTTTAAAATGTTCTCAAAACGGCTAAAAAATCTGGCCAGCTTTTTGCAACTAAATATTATTTAGGTGCTCAGCAATCGAGAGCGATCGCTCCCGCTTCCCGACCAAGCCTGTAGAGCCTTTCTCTAATTTTGTTAAACTTGCTTTTTTGTTAGCATTAAAAATGACTGAGATAATCAGTTTTATCAGCTATCTCAAAACAAGGCTGTGTGGGCAAGTTGAGTTTTAAATTAAATGTTATATACATGTTATATAAACCAAATTAAAATTATTTTTATTAGTATTAAAGTAATTCATACATTAAGTGCATATATATATATAATCATATAATACCATATTATACCAACATAATTATTTAATCATCATTATTAAACATCTTTATAAATATCTATTTTCGTTATAGAACTTTTGTTTTCTAATAATTTATGAAACTAATTTTTTAAATGCATAATGGTACTTATTTTGATGCGTGTCACATTACATAATTAAATAAGTTGTAACTAAATAAAAATTACAAATTTGCATATTGTGTAGTTTTATTAAAATCATTTCTTTCTATGACATAGATAAAAAGTTACAATATGATATTTAGGTTTAATATCTTTTTAGTTTTGTATTGCACCTTGCTGACCATGGCTCAAACAATAAAGGAACGCAAAGATTTAGAAACAAAGATGAAAGTTGACCCTGAACTTGCTGAAATTCTTCATCAACTATCAGAGGAAGATCAAAAAGACTTGGTTCAGGTTGTTATTTTAAAACTTGAATATAACTTTAAATTTAAATACATGATAAACATTTATTCTTTATAAGAAACTTTTATATCGTATTATTTTTTATTCTTCATAAGAAACTTTTATATCATATTATTTTTTATTCTTCATAAGAAACTTTTATATCATATTATTTTGTTACTGTTATTTAATCAGGCTGAACGTGCTCGGAAAGCAGCAGCAAGAAAATCTAGGGTAGATGCTGACCTTAGTGCATTAGACAGTGAAGATAAACTGGTAATTCATGTTTTATTTTTTTAAAAAATTTAATATTCAAATCTAATAATTTATTTTTATTACATCCAAAAACTAAACTTTTTTTGTAAAGTTTTTATTATTAATCTTTATATTTTTGATTAATATATACATAAAGTTTCAAATATGTAAATAATAAAAAGTTAATAAAATTATAAATAAACATTTTTTTCTAACATTTCTGGAGATTTTTTCCTTGAAAGTTCTTTTTTTTTTTAATTTTAAATAAAAAAATTAAAAAGTATTTTGCATTTTGAAAGGCATTAAAAACATAAAATACCTCAAAAATTTTATATTGAATACATATACTAGGTACTTGACTGAAAAAAAAATTATTTAAAATACAAAATACAAATACTTTAAAAGTGTTTTAAATATTTTACAACACTGGTTTCTCAAATTGTTATAGTGTTTAATAAAACAGAACTTATATATTGTTATATTGTGTGACACATTGTTTATTTTATTTAGATTTTTAATTTCAAATTTTAAATTTTTAAAAAAATGTTTAGAGTCGCTTTGCAAAGAAGTTACTTGACTTGGAAGATTTATCTTTTAAAGATGGAAGTCATTTCATGGCAAATAAAAAGTGCCAGTTGCCGGATGGTTCATTTAGAAAGCAAAGGAAAGGTTATGAAGAAGTTCATGTACCTGCCTTGAAACCTAAGTCATTAAAAGATGGAGAGGTTAGAATTAATCCATATATTTTTAAATACTTTTTTATTTTTTCTTGTTTTTTAGATGTTTTTAGGCCTGTTTTTTAAGCTTCCTGTATTTTTAATAGTTTATATGTGCTTTGTGGATTTAGGAGGCAACAAATTTAAAACAAATCAAAAATGTTTCATATGTTTATAGAATAAATAAATTGAACATAAATGATTTGTTTATAAAATTTACTATTTTTTTTTTTCAATCTTTTTTTATAGAACATAGTACTATTAAATCGGAGGGGGGGGGAGGGTACTTGTTATCAGAAAAAACAATTATATTTTTATTCTTAAAACATTTTTAGGTCTTGGTTCAAATTAGTGACCTACCAAAATACTCCCAAACTGCATTCGAAGGATACAAGCAGCTAAACAGAATTCAAAGCAAACTAGCAGATGCTGCACTAAAAACAGATGATAACCTTCTTTTGTGTGCTCCTACTGGGGCAGGTAAAACCAATGTTGCACTAATGGCTATCCTGCGTGAAATTGGAAAACACATTAATCTTGATGGTACAATTAATACAAGTGAATTCAAAGTTATATATATTGCTCCGATGAGATCTCTTGTCCAAGAAATGGTCCTCAATTTTTCAAAGGTACCTAAAAGTTACTTTAAAGATAAAAAATTTTATCATGAAAAGTCAAAAGGTTTTGAATAAGTTTTTAATTTTTTTACAAATCAAATTTATTATGCATTTTCAAAATAAATAGTAAGGAATAAAATAAATAACAAAAATGTTTGAAAAGTTACATTTACAACATTTAATTCAACTAATTATAATAATTTATCTCCAATATTTATTTTTAAATATTGTTAGGAGAAAGCATTAATGTTAGTTATTATAATATTATAGATTCTGATATTGTACATGTAGTGTGTTCATGTGTAAATAAATGGTTCAAATTTTCAAAATATTTACATATTATAAATTATTGATTTTGTTCTATTGTTTATTGTAAATTCAATTTTGTTGTATTTTTACTAAAAGTAATAATTCTAGTTTACTTTAATAGAGGCTGCAATCTTATGATATTCAAGTGTCTGAGTTAACTGGTGATCATCAATTAAGCAAAGAACAAATTGACAGTACACAAGTAATTGTATGTACACCTGAAAAATGGGATATCATTACTCGAAAGGCTGGAGAGCGTACTTATACTCAGCTAGTTAGATTGATTATTATTGATGAAATCCATCTATTACATGATGAGAGAGGCCCTGTTCTTGAGGCAATAATTGCTAGAACAATAAGGCAAATAGAAAGCACTCAAGAACCTGTACGGTTAATAGGTTTAAGTGCCACGTTACCAAATTATGAAGACGTTGCAACATTTATGAGGGTGAATGTGGACAAAGGTTTATTTTTCTTTGACAATAGTTTTCGACCTGTTCCACTAGAGCAGCAATATGTAGGGGTGACTGAAAAGAAAGCAATCAAAAGGTTTCAAGTTATGAATGAAGTTGTTTATGAAAAAGTAATGGAAAATGCAGGCAAAAATCAGGTGCTAGTGTTTGTCCATTCTCGCAAAGAAACAGGGAAAACAGCTCGAGCTCTAAGAGACCTGTGTTTGGAAAGAGATACATTAGGCCAATTTCTGCGTGAAGATTCAGCAAGCATGGAGGTTTTAAGGTATTTTTATTTGTTTAAATTTTACAAAATTTGACATAACACAAAAAAACACATAAACATAAAACAAAAAAACAAAACATTCAAATTTTCATATATTTTTTGAAGTTAAAAATAACAAATCATATAAACATTTGTTTGTAAGTTTTTAGTTAGTTTATAAAGTTCTATTTAAATCTAATTATACTAAGTTTATTTTTTATTTTTTTTTGTTAACCATTTTGTCAAAATTCATCATACTTTTATCAGATTACATTAACATTACTATATTATATCAGATTACATTAACATTACAATTTTGTATCAAATTACATCAATACTGAGAAACAAAAAGATCTCTAGAAATTATTTTAGCCTGTTGGCTTGCACTTTTATCAAAAAAGAATGAAAAAAGTTTTTGTAAAAACACATTTTGAAATTTTGCTAAACTTTGGCAAAATATAAAAGAAAATGTTTACAATTGTTATGTAATGTATGCAAATGTCAATGATAAATATTATTTTAGCTATCAAAGTTCGGCTTCATCATAAATTAACATCTCTTTTTTTTCCTTCTCAAATACTACCATGGTTACTGTTTCATCAATACCATAGTTACCATTGTTCCATCAATAAAAACTTAATCTTTCATGACTTATCATTTAAGTTACTTCCTCTTACTGTGGCTGTTTTTTCATGCTAAAAAAACTTTTATTTATCTAGTTTTTTTACTTGAACATCTGTGCTTTGGAGCTCTCTCTCATCTCCATGTTTCCCTTACACATAATTTTCAGTTTTGTAAGTTAACTTTCTTGCTTCTTGAATCTTTTTTTTCCTATAAATATATATTTTTTTAACTCGCAACTTAATTAGTAGTTGCTTGCAGCAATTACTAAGTTGTTTCATTTCTTTAAGCAGCAGTTAGGAAATTTTTTTTTTTTTAAATATCTTTTTCCTTAGATTTTATATTTCTGTTTTTAATTCTCAAATATATGAAAGTGTAAAAATTACATCTTTTTAATTTATTTTGAGCTTGCTCAATGTAGCCAATCACAATGTGTTTTTTGTGCCTAATCTTCTTAAATTAATTTGAACAAACGCTAAAAGGTTAATTGATTTCGTAAATAAAATATAAACTTATAGTAACATTTATTTCATCAATTTATCTAATAAATAGTGTTAAGAATAAAAATAATATTAAAAAAAAAATCTTTTCATTCTATTTTCTCTATTGGTATTATTAATTTAACAAAATGGTTTAAAACAAAACCAAACAATATAAATTATCATTAATCCAAAGATTAAACTACTATCTGTCCATCTTCAGTTGTTTTTTTTTAGTTTAACTGTGCTACATAGCAGTATCCATGCTATTCATTTTAAGTTATCAATATATAATCTATAATATCTATTCCCAGTATATTTTCTGATAGTTTTCTAAATATGATTATTTTTATTTGTTGTTATCATTTTAAATATTTTAATATGTCATATATATTTTTTATATCATATATGTTTTTTATATCATATATGTTTTTTATATCATATAAGTTTTTTATTTCATATATGTTTTTTTTGTATCATATGTTTTTGTTATTTATAATTTTTTATATCATGTATGTTTTTTATATCATATATGTTTTTTATATCATATAAGTTTTTTATTTCATATATGTTTTTTTTTGTATCATATGTTTTTGTTATATGTATTTTTTTATATCTTTTTTTGATTTACTCTGATTTTTTATCTTATATAGAACTGAAGCTGAACAGGTTAAAAACTTAGAGCTAAAGGATATTTTGCCATATGGTTTTGCTGTTCATCATGCAGGCATGAGTCGTGTTGATAGAACACTTGTTGAAGATTTGTTTGGAGATCGTCATATACAAGTTCTTGTATCAACTGCTACATTAGCTTGGGGTGTTAATCTTCCAGCTCACACAGTCATTATTAAAGGAACTCAGGTATTATCAAGATTATTGGTATAGAGAAGGTTTTAAAACATTAATTTAAACATTAGTTAGAATAATTTATTTAAAACATAAATTTTATTTTCTTGGTTCAGGTTTATAGTCCAGAAAAAGGAAAATGGGTTGAGCTTGGTGCCCTTGACATTTTGCAAATGTTTGGACGTGCTGGTCGACCACAGTATGATACTAAAGGTGAAGGTATTTTGATAACCAACCACACTGAACTTCAATACTATTTGTCTTTATTAAACCAACAGCTTCCAATTGAAAGCCAGTTTATAAGTAAATTAGCAGATAATTTGAATGCTGAGATAGTGCTTGGTACAGTACAGACTGTCAAAGATGCTTGCACATGGCTAGGTTAGTTTGTTTAGTTTGTTTAGACTGCTTGATAAATTAAGCTGTTATAAATATTGTTTTTATTTTTTTCTCTTTTTTCTCTTTAATAATTAATTTATAAATAATTTTAATTGGTTAGTTTGAAGTTATATTTAGCAGGAAATATCAATACGTATTTGATTGGTTTATGGTTTGTTTTATTTTAATCCAGGTTACACTTATTTATACATTCGTATGCTTCGTAATCCAACACTGTATGGAATTTCACATGATGATATGGAAAATGATAAGCTTCTTGAACAGCGTAGAATGGACCTTATTCATAGTGCAGCAGTTTTACTTGATAAAAACCAGCTTATTAAATATGACAAAAAAACTGGAATTTTACAGGTATTAGTTATATTTTATTGTTACTAATATTTACTATAATGTTATTATTATTTTCATAGTACTTTTTTAAGTTGCAAGTCATTAACATATATTATTTTTATATATATTTTTTATTTTAAGACAACTGAACTTGGGCGAATTGCAAGTCATTATTATTGCACTCAAGAATCAATGGCAACATACAACAAGCTATTAAAAGCTACTTTAAGTGAAATTGAACTGTTTCGTGTTTTTTCTCTTTCCTCTGAATTTAAGTATATAAATGTTAGAGAGGAGGAAAAAATGGAACTACAGCTTTTAATTGAACGAGTACCGATACCTGTTAAAGAAAGTATAGAAGAACCTAGTGCAAAAATCAATGTTTTATTGCAAGCATATATTTCACAATTAAAATTAGAAGGGTTCGCTCTTGTTGCTGATATGGTTTTTGTTACTCAATCTGCAGGCCGCCTTATGCGTGCAATTTTTGAAATTTGTCTTCATCGTGGCTGGGCGCAATTAACTGATAGAGTTTTGAATCTTTGTAAGATGATTAACAGTCGCATGTGGCTGTCAATGACGCCATTAAGACAATTCAAAAAAATGCCTTTTGAAGTAATTAAAAAGATTGAGAAAAAAGATTTTCCATGGAAAAGGTTTTATGATCTTGGCCATAATGAAATAGCTGAGTTAATTCATGCTCCAAAAATGGGAAAAGTAATTCACAAATTTGTTCATCAGTTTCCTAAAGTTGAAGTCACAACACATATCCAGCCTATAACACGTTCAACTCTAAGTGTTGAAGTTACAATCACACCCGATTTTCAATGGGATTCGAAAATTCATGGTAATTCAGAGGCGTTCTGGATATTTGTAGAAGATGTTGATGGAGAAAGAATATTACATCACGAGTATTTTTTGTTAAAAGAAAAATATGCTACTGATGAACACACTGTAAAGTTTTTTGTGCCAGTTTTTGAACCTTTACCTCCTCAGTATTTCATTAGAGTAATATCAGACAAATGGTTACATTCTGAAACACAGCTACCTGTTTCATTTAGGCATTTGTATTTACCTGAAAAAAACCCACCTCCAACAGAGTTACTAGATCTTCAGCCTCTCCCTGTATCAGCATTAAGAAATTCTGACTTTGAAGCACTTTATCAGGACAAGTTTCCTTACTTTAATCCGATTCAGACTCAAGGTTTAAAATTTAATTTAAAATTGATTTTTTTTTTTTTATTATTATTAATAGTTATAATCGAAAATAAGATGTTTAGTTTTAATTAAAAAATTTACAATCTAAATTTGGACTATTGTGTCTTGACTTAAATTGAATCAGTTCAACATGAGTGTAAATGAATTTAACATTTATATCATTAATATAAAAATGTATGTCTTTGTTATAGTTTTCAATGCACTTTACAATTCTGATGATAATATATTAATTGGTGCTCCAACTGGTAGTGGAAAAACAATATGTGCAGAATTTGCAATTTTACATCTGTTATTGCAACATCATGATGCTCGTTGTGTTTATATAACTTCACTGCAATCTCTAGCTGAACAGGTTGTTTATTTGTTTGTTTACTCATTTAGTTCAGTATTCATAAAAAATGAAATAACCTTTGATTGGAAGTTAAATATATTACATAAAGTAGTACAATATAGTTCTAGTCATTTGATTATCTTGATTGCTAAGCACTTAAATAACTTGAAAAATGTCACACACATGTCTTGAAAGATTCACTTATCAGCTCTGTTTGTTATTATTTTAAAATAAGCACTGATGATCCTAAAATAACGAAAGTCAAAGCTTAACAAGTTAATTTAAATAAAATTGATTAAACTCTTAATTGGCTTACTTGGTTAATGGAGCTAAATGTAAAAAATGTAATGTATTTTTTTATTTGATGAAAAATTATAATTATTTCAAAATTTTAATGTGATATAATTATAATTCTAAAATCACAATTGTTGAAAATAACTTGAATGAATCATTTTTCAATTTTAAAAGTTATTGAAAAAAATGTTGCTGATCTTTCAGACTTTTAATAAAAGTTTATAAAAAAGGGACAACTAATTAAGTGTGAATTGCATTAGTGTGAACTGGCATCAGTGTGAATTACTTTAAATTTCAATTATTTTAAATTTGAGCCATGCATAATTTTAATAAAAATAACTTCTCTTTTTTTTCTTTAAATTTTCGATGTGTGTAGAAATTTAACACTTACTACAGAAATTATTGAAGATTTTCCAAACTTTGAAGCTATATTGAAAGTAGCTCTCTGTGCCATGGCAAATCCCCAAATTTATTGTGAGTAAGAGTAGAGACCATTGATCTTTGTAGTGGTAGTATTGAAATAATAATACTCAGTGCAAAACTAAGCCTTAGCTTCCTAAGGCTTAGCTTCCTTTTTTTAATTTTTTTGAGCTTTTTTTTAATTTTTTTATTATTTTTATGTAATCTTGGTATAAATTTTAGGTATTTACTGACTGGCGCAGTAAATTTGGTATAATGCTAGGAAAAAATGTAGTTATGTTGACAGGGGAAACAAGTGGTGATCTTAAGTTGCTTGCCAAAGGTAACATTATTATTTCGACACCAGATAAATGGGATGTTTTATCTCGCAGATGGAAACAAAGAAAAAATGTGCAGAATGTTAATCTTTTTATTTTGGATGAGTTACATTTAATTGGTGGAGAAAATGGGGTATGTTATTATTTTAATTGGTGGAGAAAATGGGGTTTATTATTTTGGTGTTTTGCTCTTTTTATAGCTTTTTTTTTTTTTTTTTTTTTTTTTTGTACTTTTAATTTCAAAACTTGACACTAGTAATTAAAACTTTGCACAATTTAATATTACTTATATCAAATGAATACTTTTAAATACAAATATTGTTAAAATAAGTTAAATCATTATTTTGATAGGCAAGTAAATTATGCGGATAGATAATTAAGACTCTAAATTTTCATTTACTTTTTACTAAAAACATTTACTTTGTATTTGAAAAACATTTACTTTGTTATTTGAAATAGTTAGTAATTTAAACTTCATACGAGTATTACTTATGTGACTAATCTTAGAAATGAGTATTTTTTTGTTGTTTTTTTTATTTTGTTTTTGTTTTTTTATATACAGTTTTGCAATAGTTTTGCTTATAATAGCTTGTAATTGATATTGCTTTTAATTTTTAAAAGTTTTGCTTATAATTGATTTTTTTCTTTAATTCTATATAAATTAATGTTTGCAATAAAAAAATCTTTAATTATATACTGTTTAAAGTTCTTTTTGGATTACTCATTAAGCAATATAACTGTTATAGTAAAAAAAAATTTACATAACGTATTACAATTTTACAATATATAAAATATTTTTAGCCTGTGATGGAGGTGATTTGCTCTCGTATGCGTTATATATCATCTCAGATTGAGAAAGGTATTCGTATAGTAGCATTAAGTTCTTCACTTAGTAATTCTAAAGATATTGCACAGTGGCTTGGTGTTAGTACAAATAATATATTTAACTTTCACCCTAATGTCAGACCAGTGCCTCTAGAATTGCACATTCAGGTAGAAAAAAATTATTTAATACTAGTTACCTTTTTAAAAACATTTTTAAAGTCAAAACTTTTTTCCCATTTTTCTAGGCATTAAAATTTTTCTTGTATAATAATAGGGGTTTAATATTACTCACACTGGATCACGTCTAATAGCTATGATAAAGCCTGCTTATCAGTCGATAGTCAGGCTATCTCCTCGGAAACCTGTTATTGTGTTTGTACCCTCAAGAAAGCAAAGTAAAATCACAGCGCTTGATTTGCTGTCTTTTTGCGGTGCTGAGAATCAACCTCAAAGGTAAATTTATTTATATTTAAAAAAAAAACGTCTAAAGGTTTCGTTATTTTAGTTTTTTAATGATAATTTTTTTTTAAGGTTTCTCCACTGCACAGAGGAAGACCTTCAACCTCATTTAAAACGTATTCAAGAGAAAACCTTAAAAGAAACTCTAACTTACGGAGTAGGTTATTTGCATGAAGGACTCAGTGATATAGAAGTTAAAGTTGTTGAACAACTTTTTACCTCAGGAGCTGTTCAGGTATAAAGCTTCTGTTATATACAACAATTAGTCAGTTATAGTGTTAAAGAAGAGTTTACTTATTTGGCCACGGCTCTTTGCATGTTTTGAAAATTTAACCATTTTAAAAATGCACTGAAAAACCAAACTATACTAAAGAAAAATTAAAACCAAAAAAAACACTACTGAAATTTAAAATTATTTAAACTTTGATATTTTCTGGTGTCTAATAAATAAATTAAACATAAGTAAAAATCTTAAAAAAGGATTTGAATCTGCACTATATATTGATCGGACAATTGCAACTCAAATATAAAATGGTGTTTCTTTTTATAGTGTTACGCTAACATAGTGACATTAAATTTTATTATTTAAAGTTATTTTGTGTACAAGTATCATTTCTACAATAGATTTATTTGTTGTACACTTATACAAATAATGACCACATTATGTGCAACGCTTTTAAATTTACAAAATTTGTAAATTTTTCTAGTTTTATTTTTTTGGGTTTTTCTTTTAATTATTTTCTTATTTGTTAAGATTTCGTACCTTTTCTCAGTTTATGTGTTTTTTAAATTTTTATTTGTTTAGTTTTTTTAACACATATTTAAAACTTGCTGAGTTATCAAAACATGAAAAGAGCTGTGGTCAAGTTATCAAAACATCTTTTACATGGTCAAACAAGACATGCAACTGCACGCATCTCTTGTGAAAGTCTGTTGTTGTTTTTTTTGAAAAAAAAAACTGTTTTATTTTTAGATAATGGTAGTTTCTAGGAATCTTTGTTGGACAGTAAGCACTCATGCTCATTTAGTTGTTATTGTTGACACATTATATTATGAAGGAAAGATACATACATATGTGGATTATCCAGTTACTGATGTACTTCAAATGATTGGGTTAGCTAACAGACCTTTATTAGATGACTCTGGAAAAGCTGTAATTTTATGTTTATCGTCAAAGAAGGAGTTTTTTAAAAAGTTTCTCTACGAACCACTTCCAATTGAATCACATTTAGATCATTGTCTTCATGATCATTTTAATGCTGAAGTTGTCACTAAAACAATTGCAAACAAACAAGACGCTGTTGACTATTTAACATGGACATTTTTATATAGAAGAATGACACAAAATCCAAACTATTATAATTTGCAAGGTAAAATGTGTAATATGTATTTTTTAATATGTTCCTTAATATGTAAGCATTTGTGTGTCAAATTTTTCTTTATAATTTTTCCTTTTTATTTATCTGTATGTTAGTATTTATCTATTAAAACAATTTTTAGGAGTATCTCATCGCCATCTGTCTGATCATATGTCTGAACTTGTTGAGAACTGTCTGGCTGATTTAGAACAGTCTAAGGTAAAAAATCTTTGTGGACTGTGATGTGAAAAAAATGTAAGATTTTTATTTTTAAAATAAATATATTGTTTGATTTATTTTTAGTGTGTTTCTATAGAAGATGAGATGAATGTCACACCTCTTAATCTTGGCATGATTGCTGCATACTATTATATTAATTATACAACAATTGGTACAATTTGTCAAGTTTTTTTTAATGATTTTATTTTTATTTGTATTAACAAAAAGAATATAAATGTTTAATTTATTTTTTAAAGAGCTTTTTAGTGTTTCACTTTCGGCGAAAACTAAGTTAAAGGGTTTGATTGAGATTATATCTTCTGCTTATGAATACGAAAATCTACCTATACGTCAACACGAGGATGCAATTTTGAAACAGGTTTGCTAAATAATTTTATTTAATCTTATTCTTTTCTTATTTTAATTTCCCTAAAATATTTTATTCACAAATAACTTTTTAGCTTTCAAATCGTGTTCCATATAAAGTATCAAATGCAAAATTTAATGATCCACATGTGAAAACCAACTTACTCTTGCAAGCTCATTTATCAAGAATGCAACTATCTCCGGAACTTCAATCAGACACTGAATTTATTTTGGGAAAAGTAATCTACTTTATTTCAATGATATTAGCATAATAATATTAATAAGCACAAATAAAAATAATAATTGACACAATATATATATAGTTACACAATAAATATATATATATATATATATATATATATATATATATATATATATATATATATATATATATATATATATATATATGTATATATATATATATATATATATATATATATATATATATATATATATATATATATATATATATTATATAGTTTGTAATATATATATATATAATATATAGTTATATATATATATATATATATATATATATATATACAATATATATATATATATATATATATATATATATATATATATATATATATATATATATATATAATATATTGTTACACAATATATATATAATATATAGTTATATATACAATATATATATATATAATATATTGTTACACACATATATATATATATAATATATAGTTACACAATATATATATATATATATATATATATATATATATATATATATATATATATATATATATATATATATATATATATATATATATATATAATATATAGTTTTTGCTTTAATTCTTAAAATGTGCACTTTAATTTTCAAAGAAGAAAGATGAAAAAACAACAAAAATAATAAAAAAACAATTGCAGCCTCAACCCAAGCCCTTGGTCAATGTAGTGGTACTCCTTGCATGTTTTCCCTATTTTGTCAATTGATGTATGTACTTAAGTCCTTGCAGTAGGTAACAGCAATTTTTGGCATTATGTTGCTTCAAGTTGGAGTAGATAGTTTATAAGAAAATAAGAGTCAACTTAAAAATAAAAAATCTAAAATTAACTAGTTGCTGTCTGTCTGCTGAAAAATAAGTTTTAAATATCAACCAAAATAAATCGCTTTAAAGACGCAATTTTTTTGTAGAATTACAAAAAATGTCATTTAAAAAAAGTAAATGTAAACAACACTAAATCATTCCAGTGGTTTATTTATTTTTCCTAGATTAAGTTTTGAATTTTTTTTTCTAACTTAAAAACAAAAATATCTGAATTTTTTTGTTAACTGTTTATCGAAACCCAAATAAGTTGTAACATTCAAAACCTTGTTTTTTTATAAATGTTTTATTTACATAAGTTCATCTAATTATATAGCTTTTACGTAAAACTACCTATTTTTACAGGACCCAAATATGTCTAAAAAATTATAAAAGTTTAAAAATAAATTTTTTACTTTACATAATATATGAAAATACGCTGAAAAATATTTTACGCCAATACTCATTTTAAAAGTTCATTAATTATAACTCATTCTATTTCATGTTTCATAATAAACTATATTTTAAAAAAATAAATTAAAGCAAGATAGAATTAGGAAGACTTGCAACTTTTAAATTTTGCACATTATAGTTTTATGGTTTAATAAAGCTAGAAACATTGATTTCTCTTTAAAAAATGTTGAAAATTGCTGGGTCCTACCCTGGCTACCCCGCAGCGATTTTCACGAGTGCTGTACTTAGCCGACGTCAGATCACATGTTACCTCATTATTTATTTTGTATTTCCTTTCTATAGTTTTGATAAGTTGTTGTGTTTTTTTGACCAACTTTTATTAATTAAACTTTTATTGACCAAATATTTGGTGTATTTATCAAACAGATAGAATTACCTTTCCAAACTTTATTCCAAGCATGAGTATATATGCTAGACATTTCTTTCAATCTTATTTTGCACCTTTTGCTTGCAAAAGAAGTATTCACAATATATTACAAGTGTAACTGTACTTATTACTTTAGAATACCTTTTTTTTATTTCTGTAGGCAATGCGCTTAATTCAAGCCTGTGTTGATGTTCTTAGCAGCAATGGTTGGTTATCTCCAGCTATTACTGCAATGGAGCTAGCGCAGATGGTGACTCAAGGAATGTGGTCAAAAGACTCTTATCTTAAACAAATACCTCATTTTTCTGCAGAAATTATTAAGCGATGCCAAGATAAGGTGATTGTTTTGTTTTACTAATAAGAATTTAAATAAATAGCTTATCAAATACTAAAAGTTATTGATCTAAAAATTTATTTTCTAAAATTCTTGCAGGAGATTGAGTCTGTTTTTGACATCATGGATATGCAAGATGATGACCGCAATAGCTTATTAAAATTATCTGATTTGCAAATGCAAGATGTTGCAAAGTTTTGTAACAGATACCCCAACATTGAATTGTCCTATGAAGTTGCTAATAAAGAATCTCTCGCAAGGTTAAATTTTTTTTTTAAATTTAAATAAAATATTATCTGAAATTATTTTCCCCATTTTGTAATCCTATATTCTGGAATTGGTTTAATTAGGCTTCTTTCCATCCCCTTTGCATTACAAAAATAACAAAATGTAACAAAAATTTTTTTTCTGTTTTTGATATTTCTTAATTAATTTGAGTATGCTGTGTCTGATAGTATTTATTTATTATTGCATTTGTTTTTTATTCCATCAATGGTTACATTATAAAACTAAAAAACCGATTAAAAATTTAGTTAATATTGATCATATTGTACAAAATTAATTAACTTTCATCAATATATAACATTTACTATTCGACAATGTTACAAAATGTTGCTTCACATTATTATATTACATATATGTATGTAATACATATATGTATTAGTCCTGTGCACTAGCTGGATTTAATGCTTTGAAAAATTGTTTGACCAGACCGAGTTTAAAGGAAAGGGGTAATAGTAAAATATTATTGTCTAGGATTGATTAAAAACATTGTGAGAACCAGTTTACGAATGGAGATCTCAAACTGGCCGCTCATGTCTTGTAAAATGCTGGTCTGCAGCCCTGCCATCCCATAAACAAAGCAAACAAAAGTACATTGTGTATCCCCATTGTAGACCAAAAAGATAGCCATAAAATCTCCACATACATTCTACTTGTAATTGTTGTAGTTGATTTTCTCGATTTTCGGAAGCTCACTTCACTTATCTTGAGATTGGCGGAATGAGTTTCTAGAATTGAAGGAAATTGGATTTAATTATAGATCAAAACTGCCTTTAAAGTTCTTGTTGAGCTGTCAAAGAATGACATTTTAAAATTGTGATCAATTCTAATGTCATCAAAAAGATACAAACGCCATGAAAATAACCCAGTGATTCTGATACTACATTAACAGATGCGAGTTTTTTATGTCTTTTTCAGTCTGTTGAGATTCTGCAGCTTGGATTTAATAAATTCTATTATTTCAAACGTGATGTCAGAAGTTTGATTTAGCGTTAAGTCTTGTATTGAATCATCAAGTTTTTATTGGTTAGAGAAATGAGGTTAATCATTCCGTTTCCTGAAACTACTTTCATCACTAAGTTTATCCAGTGTGAATTTACTATGAATTCTATGAAGCCCCTTCTTCAGATCGAGATGGATTAGGAACTTTCACTGTAAACTGGTCTAATAGAAATTGGAATAGAGTCAACCTACCCAGTTTGTCATGATGGTTCTTCGGTTCTCTCCATATTCTTAGAATTGCAAAGAGCATTGGCTTTTAAGTTGCATGTAGCAATTCTTCCAGAGTTGATCTATAGCTACTACAATTTTAGCGTGGTACCCGTGATTCGTCCTGATATCCTATCGCCATGTCAAAATAAGCATGATATGCATTAAAGAAATTTGTATCACTCATGTGCACTATTTGTACTACTGACGTATAATATTAGTACACTGACTATCTTATAAATTACGCGTATATGAAAAATCTGAAATATACTTTATGCTTTTTTTCAGGAAATCCTGTTAATAAAGCAAAATTAGCATACCAAAAATATTTGTGAAATTTTAAAAAATTTACATAAACAAAAATATTGTTTTATGTGTAATCCTGTATATCTCGGTTTTATTGTGTAATCCTGTATATCTTGGTTTTTAAAAAACTTGAGTAAATATAAGTTTTACACAAAATAATTGATAAAAATGATTTTATCGTTTAGCGGTCGACCAGTTGTTGTAAATGTCAACTTAGAACGTGAGGACGAACAACCCGGACCTGTTATTGCTCCTTTCTTTCCACAAAAGCGTGAAGAAGGCTGGTGGATAGTTATAGGCGATCAGAAAAATAACAGGTAATTTTTACTTATTGTCTAAAAGAATTTTTTATATTGCTATTTTAAATTAAGTATTTCGTTTTCCTTTATATTTGGTCTTTTTATTTTTTTTTTTATTATTTTTTTTTTTGTTTAGTCTTATTTCAATAAAAAGATTAACGCTTCAGCAAAAAGCGAAAGTGAAGTTGGATTTTATTGCACCATCTGCTGGCAGTTATTTATATAATTTGTTTTACATGAGTGATTGCTATATGGGATGCGACCAAGAGTATCCGTTAAAAATTACCGTACATGAGCGAGACGATATGAGTGAATCGGGAAGTGATTAAATAACTTAAATAACACTTCGATATTGACAAAATTGCTTGGAATAATTCCAATCTCGGTCTAAAAGATATTTTTTGAAACAACTGAATATCAACATAGACTAATTTATTGGTTGATTCATTTTCTTTTGATTCAGAAGTATCTGCAGTTGATGTCAATCTTTCGCCAAATATCAACTAAATGCAAAAACTTATTTTTTTTTAATAAAAAAAAAAATAAAAGCTTAATTATTTAATAATCGTTTATTATTTTACTTTCTTGTGACCGTGATTTGGTCAGTGAAGATAATTTTTTTTATTTCTCGAGATTTAAACCTTTCGTCTATTATTGTTGTATTTATGTTTTATTTATTTACATACATATCAGACGGTTTCGCAATATTTGCAAAACAAATTCTGATAATTAAAATTGCTTTTGAAAAATTCCAATAATTCTAAGGGAAAGTTATTAAAAACATATAAAAATCAAAGTTCATATTATAATGCTTCATATTGTATATTGCAGTATAAAATAATATTTAATTACTTTATTCTCTGGCATTAGTTTATTGCACTTCATATTGCATAGTTTAGCAGTTTGAAAGCTTCACTGTTTTGTTTTTAAAATTTGAGTTGAAAAACACAGCTGGGTTCAATATTTTATGAAGTAGAGGAGAGTGGGGTATCATGGCACACTTGGTTTTTGCTTCGTAACAATTGTTTCAATACGCCTTTTTATTAGGCGAATTGCACAATAAATTTATACCTACAAAATTAAATTCATAAATTATCAAAATATGACAGTTTAAACTTGTGAGACTATTCAAATTGAAATTAGTGTCAAGGTAATTCATGGATGAAGTACCTCACGCCTCGGCAGAAGTAAATGAGTGCAAGAGCGGAGAAATGCTCTCCTAAAATAAACATGGAGAGCCATACGAGCAGCTCCTCTAAATAGTTTTTATAAGAGCTTTCGGTTCATGGGCGAGCTATCTGTTAATTCGTTAAAAAAACTGTTAAATACAAAAGATTTTAAACTTGTACTTGCTATAAGCATATGTAACAATGTTAAAAGAATTTAAAAATAACAAGCGTTGTTTCTCGAGACGTGAAAAAAGTTCTTGCAAAAGTATTGCCTTTAAAAAATTATTGCAGTTTATTGTGCAATTATTGGTTTATTTCAAAAATGACTTATGCGTTTTTCATCTTATTGACAACGATGATGGTTTTCTTTTATAAACAAGCAAACTTGATTGCTAATAATGTTATTATTATATTGACTGATACGCAGCATTTTGTAAGCAAAAAAAGTCTGAAATTCAAACTTTGTCTTTTTTATTCGATGTAGTTAGCACAAGAACTTTTAATTTTTTTAATCATTATCTAAAAATAAAAGAAAACTAAAGAGAGTTATATATGAAAAAAGTATACCTTTGCGAGAGCCATTAACTGTTCTCGTAAACTACTTTCAAGCGAGAGCTTCAGCTCTCGCTTTCTGCCGAGACCTGATACCCTGATACACATTATGAGCATCATTTAAAAAGTATAAAACGTAGAGAAAAGGCAGATTTTAACTTGAAAGATAAACAAATTAATAATTATAACCCGAATAATGCATCCAACAGTCCAAAACACATTTCAGAAGACCAGATATATTGTTTTAAACGTCATACAATGATGACTTTATCATATTGGATCTCCTTGTATTATATTTATACAAAACTAATAAAAATTGGCTGTAAATGTTAAACTGAATCGTTTATGACAAAATGAAGTACTATTCAACAATTTTAGGGCCGCCGCACAGTGGGCCAGGTGGTGGAAAAAAGTATTAAAAAAATATTCTCAAAAATGACATTGTTATATACCATTTTATAGCTTAAACATCCGGCTTTTATAAATTTTATATATTTCTGTATAACTATCATGCCGTTTGCATTTTAAGCTATTGATAAAAAAGATATTTTTTTTTCAAGTTTTTTTTTGTTGTTGTTTTTTAATTTAATATTATTTTTCGTGTTAGTAATAAGCATAACATTAATTATTAAAACTTCATTTTTTTTATTGAATAATTAAATAAAACTAAGTATTATCTATCAAATGAGCTATTGCAAAATTATTTTACACGTAAGCTAAATCAAATAAATTGATTTCTAATAGTAGTAGGAGATGCCGGTTCTGGCTCATTTTCATTTTCAACCATATTTTGAACCATATATTTAATTAAATATATGGTTCATTTTCAAGCATAGTGTGTATAAATAGTATAACTAAGAAATAAATTTTTAAATCAATCTTTTAGATTTAAAAATTAGTGCCAATTTAGTTACTTGCTGTCGCAGATTGCTATTGTCGTGACGTCATAGGTCACGGAAAAATAGAAAAGATATTTTTTATAGTAAATAAAATAAAATAATAACGATAAAAGATAGTGAAAGCTTGACACCTTCAGAACTTAGCGAAGCCTGAGTTCCTTCGGAACCTATAACATCTAACCTTCTTTCTAATCTTTTTCTTTCTAATATTATTTCTAATCTTTTTCTTTCTAATTTTCCTTTTAGTAATTTTAAAAGACCTTTATCTAATCTTTCTGATTTACTCATTAATTCTGGTCTTATAATTATTTCATTTAACATTATTCTTACCATTCTTAAATCTTCTTCTTCATATCTACTTCCCATTATATTTAATAATTTATTCATTAATTCTTCATAAAATTCTAATTTTGTTGATAAATTAAATATTTCTTCTAAATCTTCTAAATCTTCTTACACTTCATCTATAATTTTTAATTGATCTATTCTTATTTTATCAGTTTCTAAACATATTATTTTTTTTAATTCTTCATAATATTTTTTTTCATAAAATTCTAAACTTGGTATAATTTTATCTTTTTTTATTAATTCTATTTTTAATTTTTGTCAAGTCTAACATTGTCTGAAAAAATTTTCAGACAATGTTAGACTTGACAAATCTTTGTCTTTTATTTCAGATTTTATTAATTTTTCTTTTTCTTTAATAATTTTTTCTACTACTAATAGCTAAATTTCTATTTCATTTTTTTTATTTTTAAATGTTTTACTTCGTTAAATAGTATTCCATAATATAGTGTTTCATTATTTCTTTTTGATTGTTCACTTGATATAAAATATAATCTATGATTTATAAAAGAAAGTTCTAATAGTAATTCTTCTAATATTCTAAAAAAATCAATTAATCTGTTTTGAATTTCGTTTTCCATTCTTTTTATATACGCAAGAAAATTATTTAAATCATTTTTTTTCTTTTCTGCGCGCATGCGTTAGAAATAAATTTGATTTTAATTTTTTTTCATAAATTATTATTTGAATATATATAATGAATAACTTAATGAAAAAAAATGTTTATAAAATCTCAGAAGAAAATCAAAATTTAGATGAGATTAATGAAATATTAGAATTTCAAAAAGAATTTGAACTTTTTGAAGAAATAAGAAACTTTGAATTTGAAGAATCGTATTCAGAATCTGATTCTGAAAATGAATCATATTTCCTATATGATGATTCCAATAAGGAAGAAATTCAAGAAAAATGTACAATTCCAATTCCTTCAAAAACAATACTAATTATGGAATTGCATAAAGATAAACTGAAATGGGTTAATTTTACCCCAGTTTACAATGATATTATTAACAATGATTACCCTCCTCTAAATAAAATTTATTTTAAAAAACATAACAAAAACAGAAAATTTAGATTCGAAAAACCATTTAATGTTGAAATTAGTTTTATAGAAGATGGAAAACCTTCAACAATTCATTTTGTAGAAAAGTTACCTATTTTTTGTAAAAATATTTTAAAAGATAATTTTTGTCCTTTTGATAAAAAATGTAAATACAATCATGATATTCCTTTATGTAATACTGTAAAGGAAAGATTAATATGCACTAAAGCTTCATGTCAATATAAACATATTGATTTTTGTTCTGAACATCCTAAATGTAAAAATAAATCTTGTAAATTATTTCATCCTAAAAAGTCAAAAATACTAAAATTAAAAATAGCTAAAACTAAATTATGTAAATATATACTTGATAAAAAAGAATGCTTTTTACAAGATAAATGTAAATATGCCCATTCTAAAAAAGAAACTAAAGAAAACGTAGAAAATTGTTCATTTAATCCATGTAAATTAATAGAAAAGAAAATAATGAAAAATCAAAAAGGTGAAAAACTAACTTTATATAAAAATAGTGATAATAATAAAAAGCGTTATTATTTACATAAAAATAGAAATATTACGAATTATATTGTTAGAACTTTAAAAACAAAATAAATAAAAATATTATACTTTTAAGTATAATATTTATCATTTTTTAAAATGATGTATATTTAGATTACAAAAGATTAGCGAAATTTAAAATAAAATAGAATGTGGAAGGAAAAGAAGAGAGATCTTAAGTAAGAAATATCATAGAGCTTCAAGAATTATTTCAGCAGTTGATAATACATTACTAGCAAGCACTATGGCATTAGGAGCTGCTGGAGTTGGTTGTTTAGCAACTGGTGTATTAGCTCCAGTAGCTATTGGATGCGAGATTGCTGCATTAGTTATAGGAGCAGTAAATTTAATAGGATCACAAGCAAATAAAAAATTAAACTTAAAAGCAGAAAAGCATGAAAAGATTAATGTACTAGCTGATGCAAAACTAAAATACAATAAGTAGTCTTGTTTCTAAAGCTATATTAGATCAATATATTGATGATGTAGAATTTAATATGATACTTTCAGAACTTGGAAAGTTTCAAGCTATGATTGAACAAATTAGATCAAAAGCTAAAAACGATATAGATGAGCAGACTAAAGAGTCAATATTCAATAAAGGAATAGAAAAAGGTACAAATGATGTTATAGAAGCGTTAAATATGAGATTCAACAAAAATCAAAGTATAGGAATGATAAATAATACTCTTAAGAATTAAATAAAAAAACATATATTATGTATTACTTAAACATAATATATGTTGATTTAAAAAAATATTATTTATATAAAATGTCGTATGTAAAAGCTACAGATATTGAAGCAAGATTAAAGTTAGTAAAAGAACTTGATAGATTAAAGAAAAGTGTATATCAAGATTCTATTAATGAAAAGTTAGGTGATGATACTTTACAGACTAATTTGGAAAAGTTGTACAAACCACTAATAGATAGCCAATCTGGAATAAAAGAAGGCTTATCTAAATTAGAAAATAAAGCTGATCAATTAGCTAATACT